ATAAATGAAAAATTTTCTCATCTCCATCACTTTTGTACTGCATAGTTTCCTTGTCACTGGATACGGTCATGCATACATACACAAAAACAAACACACACATATAAACATGCAAAGATAAATATGTTATAATATACAACACGTTCTTCTTACTACTAAACAGATCCGTAAAACATACCGAAATTTCTGCAATGAATAACACGCTGCAGCGTGAGAATTAATATCGATGCTGGTCTTCCCTGTTAGACTACAGGTTTTGCTGTATAAGCGTTGACCAAAAATGCGCATAGAGACAAGAAATTATCAATACTAATTATCAGACAGGTTGGCTCAGTAAATTGTGTCAGAAACCGAATACGTGAGCTTCTTTCCACCAGGCAAATGTGACAGCATTAATCAGTAGACCCAAATGACCATTTTGCTATTCAGGTGTCTATTCTATTTTTTTTTTTTTTTTCGCGTTAAAACCAACGACAGTTTTGTTTAATTTACAGACGTTTATCCTAAACATCATTAGTATAACTATCTCGCAGACTAATTAAAAACTTTTTACGGTGTCTGTTGTCATTTTGGTGTGTAACTAGATATATATGTTTAATTCTGGAGCTTATCCCTAAAGTGTGTGGGGGACAGCAGGAAACACCGAAGAAAACAAAAACAGGACTGTGAAAACTCAATGTATTGTTAGCCCTGTTTGTTGACGTCAGCAGCAGGGCTTATCAGGTGGAGACGGTTTTGTCGAGGACTCAAATATAATCTAATGAATGAACGGGATTTTTCGTCCGAAAAGTGACTTTGTGTCAATGTGTGTTTATCGCTCGTTGTGGGGTTAAATATTTCACTCACACTGCCCCTATTTGTCTCACTACCCTGTACAGAACTTACACACACACACACACACACACACACACACACACACACACACACTGCTTTCTGTTTCTGTTAATCTTGGTAATCTTAGTTTTAGCTTCATAGCAAACCAGTCAGCCCATAGTTGCTCCGCTCCTGTACCAACGAAAAACACACAAAATGTTCGTCGCAGTCCCTTGTGAAAAGATTGACACTCTGCTGTCTCAGCATATGCACTAGCATGCACACGCATTAAAAGCATACGGTAGCCTTCAGAAGTGCTAACAGTTTGACATTAGAAATGCAGTTTATCATCGACGGTAGCAGAAGTCGCCAACAGATCAGCAGTTGCGTACACGATCAATATTAATCACATAAGGGCACCATTAATATTGCGGCGACAGGACCACGCGCCATTTTTTTAATCTACAGTTCACAACACCATGTTGATCACAGTCGAAAAACATTCCAAATCAAATCCGCAGCTCACAGGGTCGCGCCATGCAATCAGCTCAGTAGCTGACGCGACGAAACTGTATCCTTTCAGTCTACAAATGGATCAAAAATGCAACGGCCACTGTCTGGCAGAAGCAAAAAATTTGCCTCGACGCGAAACAGTAACCGCGCCTGGCGTCCATTTTGACCGGAAGCATCCTGTGCTCCTGTTGCGTTTCTGTTCACTGGTTTCTGGATTTGGAAACGGGAAAACAGTCTTAAAACAGACTTCAGGGAGATGAACTTTGTGTGCCTCTTCATGTGAAAATGTTTAAACTAACCTTTTTCGAAAAGATTCCAGTAGGTTCACATTGTATATTCTAATTGGAACGTCGTGACATAATAAATGGCGGAGGATTTATCACACATCCATAAAACAAAGTGGGTGTATTAAAAAAATTTTAAAAGAAAGAACAGAAAAGAAAGAAAGAATGCGAAAATACTATCCAGCATTAAAGGTAAATCTCTTTCTTGAAAAACTGTGATCTCAGTAAACGATAATTTTTCTCGGCCTAAGCGTATTGGGCATATATGGCTATACCTATATTCTATACACCAAGCGGCACGTGTTGGGTGATGGGACTAACATCCGCCAGCGACGTTTACTTCCTAGGACTGTTCCTGATACCCATTTAAGGCTGGGTAAACTTGGGAGAAAATATCATTTTTGAAAATAGCCCGCTTCCGTCAGGTCCTGAACCCACGACCTTCCTACCCGCAGACGAGCGTCTAGCTGGTACACCACAGCGGCTCCCAGCACTTTAATAAGAAAAAAGGAAATCATGAACCGTATAGTCTATCCGTTTGGCATCGATAGTTATATCTATCCACAACCTTCCGTGTCGTACTCTTTCAATGATTTCTGACACAGGTGATCTTCCATGCCATGATGTCAAACTGTCCGACATCTGCCTCTATCCCACTCCAAACGTTTCCAACATCCCGATTAGCTCCAGTTTGTTTTGCCTTCGCATGACATGATCAAAGAATTTAGATTGTCTACTAGAATTTAGATTGTCTCCTTCTAATGTGGGCAGTCAGTTATCTTTATGATTCAGTTTATTTCAAGACATCTTCATTACTCTTTTAATCTCAGTCTTCTCATCATTCGTCTGTAGAACAAAATCCCTACCATTTCAGCATAATCGTTCACTAATTGAAACACTGTTTATGATTCATTTCCGTATACCAGAAAAGGATTTATATAGCTCTTGAGAATTCTCTTTCGTGGAGAAAGCTAATATCACACTGTTTATCCTTTCGAGAAACATACAATCCTGGAGATGTAAAAGTAAAGTTAAGGACCCTTTTCCACAACTTCAGACGTACCGGGCCAGACCTACATTTTATAGACCAATCCGCACTTGATGGGTGATGTGGTCAGTATCACACCGGCCGCCGTTACACCCCATGACATTACATGCGATCCATTTAAGGCTGGGTCAACTGGGGAGCCAAGATAATATTTTAAAGGGAAAAAAAATGTCCTGCACTGTTCGAATTTGAAACCATCTCCTTTGGATCAGTAAGGACGCGTCTTGCAGCTAGACTACAGCAGTTCCCTAATGTGGAGATGGCAGCTTGGCATAAATGTATAGCCCTTGTCTTCATTCTTAACCCCCATGGGACTGCAGGATATACCAGGTTGGTGTAGCCGTTTTCTATCTTCTTCTGCCTTTCTAGCCTCCAATGGAGCATAGGCCCTCAATCACCTCGCGCCAAGTTGTTCTATCCTTCGCTTTCGCACGCAGCTCTCGCTATGTCTTTCTCAAAATTTCAACTTCACACTCTTTCTCCCATCTCCATGTGTTTTTGGTCTCCCTTTATTTCTATGCCATTGTGGCTTCCAGTGCAAAGACCTTCTGATTATATTGTTCTCAGGTTTTCTCAAGGTGTATCCTATCCAACGCCAGCGTCTTTTCTTCACCTCTTGGTTCCCTGGAGTTTCTTTTCAATCGTACTATTTAACCCCCCCTCTGTTCTGCGCAAGCACCAGTTAATGAATGTATGTAGTGTATTAGTAATTTCTTCCGTTATTCTTCATGTGTAGGCTCTCAACAACAGTGCTGATTTGACGTTAGAAATAACAATTTTAAGTTTAGTATTACTTAAAAAAATGTGTGTGTGGCTTCCGCAAATTCCTTAGTGCATGAAAGTTCCAATTGTCATTTGTGTTTGTATTTTAATATCTATTAGTTTCCCCATCTTTGTCTACATTATTGCACAAATAGATGTACGACTCCAGGTCTTGGAGAGGGATACCGTTAGGAGAAATCACATTACTATTAGGTGTAGCCGATACGGGTGTATTAATGATAACTACTTTTGAAGTTGAAGATCGTTTTACTTATTTGGGTAGTAATTTTGACAGTGATGGAAATACAAGGAAAGAAACTTATGACCCGCATTGGCAAGTCATTAGCAGCTTTTAATAGCTTGAGCAAAATATCTAACTCTAAACTGTATAGTTTACAACTAAGTTACATATTTTTAATTCTAATTTTATTTCATATTGAACATACGCGAGTGAAAGTTGAGAAACCACTTGAGACATTGAACGAAAGTTAAAGACATTCAAACACAAATGTATGAGGAAAATGATAAAAATAAGATTGGTTGAATTCAAAAGAAGTGAAGAAATCAGAGAAATGTCTGGACAGCCACTAAAATAAGCAGCTGTAATACATAGATTCTGGCATTGTATTAGACATATCCTGTAAAGAAACCTCAGAGAATCAGCAAACAGACATAACAATGGGAAATAAAAGGGTTGAGGAGGCGAAGGTGCCCTAAAGAAACCTTGAGAAAAACGTTGATAAGAGAGACCAAGACAGCGGGACTGAACACCATCCATGATATCGAACTGATTTGCACAGGATATAGCAGAATAGATGAATAAACTGCGAGCCCTATGTGACACATAATGGCATAACAGGATAATGCATGATGTTGAACGAGATACTTTAGATATGCCTTTATGTTTGGCCTCCAGACTGTTATTTTTTTTTAAATCTCATGATGGTATGGTAAACCTGTAAGTAGCAGGCCAGGAAAACACGAGATCGATGGATTATTGTATGTACTATCTTGTCTTTACCTACACAGGACTGCAGGTTAAACTTGGCTGGTGGAGCCATCACTAGTGCATTGATTAAACTTTTTTTTTTTCTAAGGGTGAACGGAGTAGATATGATCTGCATCGTTGGTCTCCCGTCCAGTTTGAGATTATTTAAACTCAAGATGGCATGGTAAACCTTTAGGAAGCAGCCCGGAGTGGACACAACGATCGGAGATCACTCTGTTTCGTTTCTCTGTGTCGATTATTAATTCTATTCCACTTGTTACTTCAACTGCTTCTGTCAAATATTCATTTTAGATAAACTCCTTTAACACTCAAAGACTGTTACTTTATTGTACACACAGATAGAAATACACAGAGCTGAAGTGACTGTGACTAAAAGAGTTAATAAAACCAAGTTACTGTCATATTGTAACGTTAAACTAGAACTTAAGAGCTCTGGTGATAAATTCTATTGTCCTGCCAGTAATATGAGCCGTGCTTGTCGGATTTGCTAAGAATGTGGGGCTGTTAACTAGCAACTCCAGAGGACGTATGTAACTACTTCATAACAAAGGTGAAAAGATGTAAAATGCTCGGATTATAATGCTGTATTGGCATCACAAATAACAAGCTTATTAATGACAGAACCAATGAGAAGTTTGTTGTTGTAGACGGCAGCCACAGACGAGCCACTGATGAGGTTTCCGTGGTCATAGAAGAGTTCAACAATCTCTTCAGGTACTATCTTTCCGTCTTTCAGAGGCAGTTTCAGAACCTGCAGGAGATAAATTTCTCACGAGTCAAAGGTTTGTGCATAGAAGCTAATGAAGGGAAGTAATAACGAATAAATATAATTACTACATGTAAATGCGACGAGAACTGATGATTCTTTAAGTAATGTTATCGAAGTAGGCCAAGACAACATTTGTAGTAACTGATAAGAAACATTCAGATAACAATCTTCAGCGCAACACGTGGGCAAACAGGCAATGAGAATGGCAGACAACAACAACAAAAACAATAGAAAGGGAAGAAAAGGGATATACAGACGGACGGGCAAACAGACACTACAAACGACCGGCGAGTAGAAATAGATAAATACAGACAGACATGCATGGTTGTTTGGTGGGTATTATAGAAAGTTCAATGTAGCTACAGCGACACATAAGCAGACGGGCAAACTACACAACAGGAAAAAATTAGATAATTAAGTGCAGATAAAAAGACAGACGAACTCAAGTAGGACAACAATTGCAAATACTAAATTATGGCAGAAGATTATACGATGGAAAATGAACAGTGTTACGAGTATTTTAGACAGGTATTAAATGCGGAAAAGAAATTATTTCAGTAGATTGTGGCATAAACAAGCACTTGCATTTTGTAAACTAATTTCCTAAACGTTAGACAAAATTTTATTTTAACAATCTTTTTCTTTTTCAGCATTTTGAGCCCTTGAGGTTTATTTCTGCAGATATCAGCCGCCTCCATTCATCTCTCTCGTTGGCCTTCTCTTTCAAGTTGGTGATACCAGGTGTTTGCAAGTCTGCCTGGACATTATCTCTCCATCGTCTTCTTGGTCTGCCTAGTGGTCTACGACCATTCATCTCCCTTGTGTATACAGTTTTTACTTCTCTGTCATCTGACATTCTTTCAAAATGTCCCAACCATCTCAGCTCTCATGATGCCAGTGATCAAGGGTGTTTTATACAGATTATGAATTTCGTTGTTGCTTCTCACTCTCGATTTCCCTTTTGCATCTTTGATGGGTCCAAACATTCGTAGTAAAACTGTTTTCGAAAACCTGTAAAAAGGCTTAATCTCTTTCAGTTGTGGTTTAACTTTCAGAGCTAAATAAAACGACTGGTCTCATCAATGTTTGATATTTGCGAAACAGCCGATAATTTATCAATATCAACAATATTTTACTAATGCGATTGTTGGTGTGAAAATTATGAAAATGAAACATTTCCTTTAGTAAAATTATTGTAGAGGCAAAAAGAGCATTTACTTACAGATGAGGGTGAAGGTTGTCTGGGATCTCCTAAATGCTGGATTATTTTAGGGATTACAGGATGGGCTCCTGTGTAGAGCGCGTCCCCGGAATTGGACAGGTGGAGGTTGTCGGGTGAGGTACCAATGACAACAGACTGAATTTCAGTTAATGAGTAATCACTTTTTATTTCAAAGGCTTTGACTGACTGTTCCCGGGGTAAGGCATTGTAGAGAATTCTGTAACAAGAAGTAAAACTAAATGTGTTAGTATTTCTGTAGTGACATTTGACATGTGAGCTACTATGTCATCAACAATTGAACATTAAAGAACAATTGTTCCAGATTTGCCCCAGGCGTCATTATAAAGAACAGTTTGGGAACTAGGGCTCAGTGGGTGGCATTGGCCTACTGTCATTTTATGTGGATTTACCAAATCTTTTAATCTTATACTTCTCAGTGTACACCCTGATCGTTTCTCCAATCTAAAAGTAGCATTTGATACACGGTCTTGTGGTCTTACAATGGCTGTCTGATAATGAAGTTACGGGTTCTCTGCTGCCTACATAATATTGTAACTAACTCACAGAGGATGTTAAAAAAAGGTGGAGACAGGCACGCTCCGTAAAGAGTGGCAAGCATCGCTTCAGAGATCCCTGGTGGTTAGCTTTCTTTGGATATTTCCTCCCGATAATGCTGGTATATTGCGAAACGAGCATGCAGATAGGCTGGCCAGTTTTGCACCACTTGGTGGCGAATTGATATATGACATGCTAGATAGTGGGGAAACCCCTTTGGGGGCGAGTAAACAGTGCCCAGGCACAAATAGATCATTCCGATCTAAAAAAAAAACATAACGCAGCGAGGAGTTACTAGGGAATCTGGCCGACGTTCAACACTCAGGGGAAAGGCAAGCAGGATGTACAATCAGATAATTACTGGTACCAGCGGAATTGAAACTCTTCGCTTGCTGCCGAAAATGGGGTCAGAGTGCTTATGGAAGTGTCTCCGAGCGCTATAATGTCTATTCTTAATTAATGTCTATTCTTAAATCAAAATTTAACATCGACATAATGGAGCAACTTTTACTAGCTAATCAAGATGGCAGGTCCACTACTGACCATGTGAAGTTACCATTTTGCCAGAACATAGATGAGTAATGCGTGCCCGGATGCAATGATTTGCTTCATAGTTGGCATTTTTGTTTTGGGCCATAATAAAATCAAGTAAAGGTAAAGTCAGGAGATGTGAACTAGCATCATCGCACACGGTTATAAACCTTCCTTAAGTGCTCTGCCACTAGCACAGACAACTGATAAGAAACTGCCCGCCTGATGTGCCGTCCGCACGCAACTCCGTAGCTACATCAACGTTCCTCCATTTACCCAAGAGTGTAAACTCTGGTATCCATTACCTAGAGGCCGTGTGAACCCCGGGAACTGCCTGGTTTCGAACACCGGCCGTGGGATGCAGTGAGTTGCAGCTGGATTTGAAACAAAGTTTCATGAGGTAATTGTCAGACTCGGTACACTTACCTTTTATCCTTTGACAAAAAAAGACCGTTTGGGGAATTCATTGATTGTTTCACCACACTGAAAGCTGTACCGTTGAAGAATACAAGAGATCCGAAGCCAAAGGAAGAAAAAACATGTTCCGCGATACTCAAATATGGATTCTTGAAATACAAAAAGTTGGATATGTAGAATTTATCCTCTTCAAGTACAGTTAGATCGTTGGTTATATGAAGGACATCACCAGTGAAGGATTTTAGATGAATCAGTTCATTTGTTTTCGGCGAGTATCTGAATTTTTCTACAGCGTCATCTGCATGTTTTGGGTGGCTAACAACGTAGAGCAAATGTTCTCCATTAGTCTCATCTTCAAGAAGACTGATGCCGTGTGGGTGGAATGTTTCTGGATCGAAGTCCTTGCTGGGAATCAACTTCAGTTTCCTGGCTCCCAGGTCTGGCTGGTTAAAATCGTACAGAAAAATGTTACCTTGGATGTTGTTGGATTTCAGAAATTCGTCAAATTTATTTGACACAGTAGGAAACCATACTCCGGAGGTTACAAAAGCCAGACCATTCTTAGTGACTTCAAGGTCTTCAGATCCGAAATTAAGACCCTTGACCTGGCTAATAAACAAAAATAATAATAACAAACATGTTACATGTTAGTTTTTTTTACCACCACAAAATATACACTTAGAGAAGGTCGGGTGAGGATGTACAGTGTAGTTATAAACTTAAATGTAAACTTGGGGGGGGGGGGGGGTTGCATGGTCTCGGGGCATGGTGTCCGCCTCGAGTGTTAGAGGTTCTGGGTTCAATCCCCGTGAAGGCTGGAACTGTTTCACTTGGACTTGGACATCTAATAATTCCCCCTGGTCTCTGGATAGTGAGATCGGACGCCCGTGTGCATTGTTGCCCAGGTAAAAAATCTATTGGCAGTTGGAAATCGAAAAGAGTAGCCTAACGCGCTTCCTGGGCAACATTTTTAGTTCAAAATCTACCCAAAGTATTTCAGAATCCTCGCTGGTGCAACAGAGCCTGTTAAACGTGCTGAGCTTCTTCGGACTCAGACTTGAGTTAGAAGAAGAACATAGCACCTATGGGTTACTATCCGTGTGCCTTGATGTTGATTCGTTGTTTAAAACCTCAAATGTAAGCTTGAACTGTTAGCATACAAAAAAAAAAAAAAACCTGTTATGTTACGTTATCACACACACAAACACACACACACACACACAAAACCAGTGTTTCAGTACACATTAGGCATTCCCTAGCGTGCTGGGTCAACTGATTTAGATGTACCCTAAAATACCTTAAATAATTTATATATATATATATATATATATATATATATATATATATATATATATATATATATATATATATATATATATATATATATATATATATATATATATATATAATGTATGTGAGAAAACAACAATAAAGTACATGTACATTTTGTTTAAAAAAAAAGGAGGGGGGGGGTGAAGGGAGTACTTTAAACAATAAATTATATGTAACAATCGGACAGATCTGGGTTATTGAAAACACAACGTAATTACATGAAATGTGAGGACACTGATATTTAGCAGTAGTAAATTTTACCTCACCAGGACATCACACAAACGATAAACACCCGATGACACAAAGTGTCACCATGTGGATAAGGATGACCCGTGGAGAGGTCCCAGAAACCGCGTTCAGCCATTAGACCATATTTATGGCCGGGCAAGAGCCAAGGTGGGGCTTCAAAATAACAAAAAAAAATCTCATCTCTGTTCACACTGATATAGTACAAAGAGAACAAATGCATGTAAACACGAAGTATGGAATTAGATGGTTTAAAAAACACATAAACTGCAACAAAAGATATGGCGAAATTAAAATACAGAATAATGGATGTATTTTTAATACACTGAACGCCAAAGGGCTCAAATGCGTTCTCTCTTTAGCAGAAGCATGCTAAGTTTTGTAGAGAATGTGTGTTGCCTGGAGAAGTATGATCCCTCACTCAGCCTGATTGTTTTACTCAAAAGGGTAGGTAACACAAATACGCTTGGAACACTGCATGCTGCGGAAGCTGCCCGATTAGAAGAGCATTGCTCTCTCTCTCTCTCTCTCTCTCACTCTCTCTCACTCTCTCTCTCTCTCTCTCTCTCTCTCTCTCTCTCTCTCTCTCTCTCTCTCTCTCTCTCTCCCCATCTGCAAGTGCTTTTCTCCTAGACCAGGTGCCAGTAGGGGCTAAATACTTAATTTATCCAATCGCAACATTTTTTCCCACGTTGCATTTCCTCTTTCTATGACATTCTTCTTCTTCTTCTTTCGTTCGCATGAAATAAATTGTCTATATCTGCAAAGCCGTCTCTTGTATGAATTTCACTGTCTTTTGTAATTCACTAAGCGGCCCGTAAAGTTTGACTTCCACAAGTGTCTCTTTTGGCCAAATGTTTTGCCTGAAAGCGTTGAATATGGGACAGTCTTGAAGGATGTGATCTGTTGTTTCAGGTGCCAGTCCACAAGTACACATGGCCGATTGGCCAATCTTAAATTTGTTGTACATGTGGGAGCTAAGTCTATTGTGCCCTGTTCTAATGCGAAGGATAATAACTTGCTCTGGTCTGTCCATAATATAGTAATCATCTTGTGCCAGTTTCGGTGGCATTCTGATTGATTTGATCATTCTCTTCTTCTGTTGATAAGAGACTGGTATGTCAGGTTGTTCTTCAGTTGCACCTTCCTTAGCTAGTTTATCAGCTTTTTCGTTTCCGGGAACTCCACAGTGAGAAGGTATCCACTGCATTACTATTTCTATGACATGATTCGTACCTTCCTAAGGCTAAAAATTTGGTTTTTTCTGAAGTCAATGCGACGTACTAAAAGGAATAGATAGGTGTTCAATATATTAATAATATGCACGTTTATAATGAATTCTAATGTTGAGTTATATTTTATTTTTATTTTTGCAAACAACTAATTCCCTGCTTCGATTTTTCATGTATTTTATATAATTTACCCCTTGTACTAATCCAGTGTCTTCCATTTTTATGTACTTATGTTTTGTTTTTAATAACCCACTTACATCCGATTTTCACATGTAATTTATGGTTGTTGTTCTCTCCTTACATTCCCCATTTCATGTACTTTATTGGTGTGTTAGTTGTGTATCCCTTACAGGACGTTGCAGAACTAGCTCCAACTGCCTCAGGCTGTTGTATGGTTTTTCTAGGCAAATTTACGTTCAGTAGTTTGCTAGTGGTTTCTAGACGTTCCGCTTTCTTGATACCACTGTCGAAACCAAAGCAAGGCATAGCCCGCAGCTGGGATCGAACCAGGCATCCCGGCATTACGAAGCGTTCGCATCGACTTAGCCACAGAGCCGACTTATTGGTGTGTTCTCATAAGAAAAATCAGTTAAGGTAGTATATGTTAAATCTGCATCAAAGGACTGAACCCGCTAGGCCCACATGGTTTCTTCAAAACCCAGGCTTGCGCTAAAGACAGAAAAAACGAGCGAGATGTAGACAAAGTGATAAATACCACGAGGGTTAAGCCACAGGGGTGGGAGCGAGACAAGAGCACTGGCCTGATCCACGATTATGGGATCGTTTGGGATGGCAAACCTTGACTGACTTTACCTATTCGCAGGGCACAGAATAAGATGACAACCTGGCAAGTCAGTAACTTCTGTTATTGGTTAGCGATGTCCTGAAAATGTATGCAACTTGAATACAACTTGAATGTTGAGGTGATTTATTATTTTCCTACCCCAGAGAGGAGAAATTCACAGGTGACGGCACAGTCTAATATTTCAGGGGGTGGTAGATAGGCTGCTAGCAGTCGTGGGATTTAGGTTGCATGCAGTCATGGGACCTAGGCTGCACCCTCTCGTGGGACGTAGGTGGGTTGGGGTTAGGGCCAGTTCTATATGTTTTGGGGTAGTTAAAAACATCAGAATGCAGGGAATCCCAGTCTAACCACTCTCCAAAATGTTAGACTGTCCTGTGACGTCATCAGGGGGTAGGATATTAATAAAGCACCAATGTTGAATTAAGAATCGACATCACAGCACATGGGACATTCTCATCATCTCACTGTCCCCATCTTCATCAGCAAGCACAGAGTTCCAGCTCCAGGAGCTCAAGTCACAGCCTGATTGTATATCCGTTTCGCCTTTCCCTCGAGTATTGAGCATTGGTCAGATCCCCCTGTCCACTCCTTGCAGCACCACTCTCCTCAGACCATAATGTCTGCTTGTGCCTCCACACTGTTCACTTGCTTCCATAAGGATCCTTGCGAGAGTTAGCTTGTCATGCATCAAATCATAATGCATATAATTGTTAACATCGAGTTAAGAAGTGTCTTCCATTACCTGCATTTTCCCGGATAATGTTTCTTGAAAACATCATCCGGGGGATTGAGAAATGACCTTGCTACTCTGTACACAATGATGGCCACAAGAGCCACTTTCACGGCGCCACCGATCATGTCTGCGGTTTGGAGATCTGCATAGGTAACAACAATATGACTGGTGTTAATAAAGAGAATATTCTGAACGTTCACTTCAGCTAGCAAGACATCCACGTGGCTGCTTTTAAAAACGTCAGTTGAATGATATTATGTATTCGTGTGGCTTTGTTTTATTTATGTTTGCACAACGTTCCCGTTTTGTTTGTGTTTCGCTGATATACCTTCCATTCGGTTTAAACCTTTCCCTAATAAGGATAATACCGTAACAATGATTACGCTTACAGTCTGTTGTGTACCTGTCTGTGTGAGAGAGTCTATGTAAAAGGAAAATAAAATAACCCACCAGTGGCGCATCAGGCATATGTGTAAAGTAAAGGACCTCTTCATACCTTAAGGCGTAAGGGGCATATACGGTTAGACCTTTTATTTTGTAGATCAAACGGCACTTTGGTGGGGACTGTGGTCAACATCATGCCGGCCGCCTTTACTTCTTTTGACTCTCCCTGGAACCCATTCAGGGCTGGGTCGACCTGGCAGCCAAGGTCGTGTTTTAAACAAATCTGGCACCCCACAGATGTGAATCCACGACCTTCAGATCCGCAGACGAACGTCTAGCCGCTACACAACGGTAGCCCCCTCTGTGGGTGTATTTATATATATATATATATATATATATATATATATATATATATATATATATATATATATATATATATATATATATAGTGTGTGGGAAGTTATCACTTATTTGTCTCTGAAACCTGGAGCACTACTAAGAGATATGTGGTCTTATTGTATTTATTTTTTCTCAACAGTCTAACGACGAACTTTTGGACGCATCGGAGATACAAACAGTTTGGAATGGAGAATGAGAAGTAACAATGAAATTCATAAGCTGATTAAATCATTTAAATCACCACTGATCACTTGCATCTTGAGTCCGATTAGACAGAAATAGTAGAGGTATATAAAGAGAATGGCCTATGGCAGAGAAACGCAAACTGTGGATATGAGAACTGAATGATCGTAGACCACAAGACAGAGAAAGACCACGGCGGAGAGATAATGTCCAATCAGAAATTTGGGGTCAACAACTTGACAGAAAATACTAATCACAGAGATGAATGGAGAGGCTCGTAATTATAAAGAAGAAGAAGAACAAAGTTACTACATATTGGTACTATACTTACCTGTTGTAAAGCAAGATTTTAAAGGTGTTATGATAAAGATTACACATACACACACCGGAAATAGAGCTTCGGGGCTGTACTGTGATCTGCGTGACTGTAATTCAGATAACAATGACCGGTTCGCGAACTGTAACACATTTTGAAAAAGAACTCGTCACGTCGGTTAACCCTTGTTAAAGTTAAGAGGCAAGTAATGGTTGTGTACGCTGGCCAGAAATGTTATAGAAGGGGGCAGTGGTGCAGAAACTAGATGTTTAGGTCCCTTAAGCTTTAGCACTCTCCCCCACCCCATCCTAGAAAAACTGTGTGGGAAACGGGCTTCCCAGGCACCCCTGCCCCCATCTCCGTAAGAAAGGGGCCGCGGCCTAAGCCCCATATGTCTATATGAACTATCGTTTTTAAGTATTTGTTTATACACATCGTAATATTTCAAATGTATTAAATTTATTTGACAATGAATATATATTATAGGAGTTACTATTGTTACTGTGCACTCAAACAGGCCTTAATCCCAGTCACAGCTCCCTAGAAAATATGCTAAGTGGATTACACCCCCCCCCCTTTTTTTTTTACCCCTTTCCCTTTTACAAAGCACTTACCTCTCTAGGCTCAGTCCTCACCCCTACTGGACATCAGCATACACTAGGCTCATCCTCACCTGTACTGGACAACAGCATACACTAGGCACATCCTCACCTGTACTGGACAGCAGCATACACTAGGCTCATCCTCACCTGTACTGGACAGCAGCATACACTAGGCTCATCCTCACCTGTACTGGACATCAGTTTATACTAGGCTCATTATCACCTGTAATGGACAGCACTTATACTAGGGTAATTCTCTAATTTACAGCAGCATATGCTAGGCTCATCCTCACCTGTACTGGACATCAGCATATACTAGGCTCATCCTCACCCCTACTAGACATCAGCATACACTAGGCTCATCCTCACCTGTACTGGACAGTAGCGTACACTAGGCTCATCATCACCTATACTGGACAGTAGCTTATACTAGGCTCATCATCACCTGTACTGGACAGTAGCGTACACTAGGCTCATCATCACCTGTACTGGACAGTAGCGTACACTAGGCTCATCATCACCTGTACTGGACAGTAGCTTATACTAGGCTCATCATCACCTGTACTGGACAGTAGCGTACACTAGGCTCATCATCACCTGTACTGGACGGTAGCGTACACTAGGCTCATCATCACCTGTACTGGACAGCAGTTTATACTAGGGTCATCCTCTACTCGACAGCAGCTTATACTAGGCTCATTATCACCTGTAATGGACAGCACTTATACTAGGGTAATCCTCTACTGGACAGCAGCTTATACTAGGCTCATCCTCACCTGTACTGGACAGTAGCGTACACTAGGCTCATCCTCACCTGTACTGGACAGTAGCGTACACTAGGCTCATCATCACCTGTACTGGACAGTAGCGTACACTAGGCTCATCCTCACCTGTACTGGACAGTAGCGTACACTAGGCTCATCCTCACCTGTACTGGACAGTAGCGTACACTAGGCTCACCATCACCTGTACTGGACGGTAGCTTATACTAGGCTCATCATCACCTGTACTGGACAGCAGTTTATACTAGGGTCATCCTCTACTCGACAGCAGCTTATACTAGGCTAATTATAACCTGTACTGGACAGCACTTATACTAGGGTTATCCTCTACTGGACAGCAACTTATACTAGGGTTATCTTCACCTGTACTGGACAGCACTTATACTAGGGTTATCCTCTACTGGACAGCACTTATACTAGGGTTATCCTCTACTGGACAGCAGCTTATACTAGGGTTATCTTCACCTGTACTGGACAGAAGCCTACACTAGGCTCATCCTTACCCGTACTGGACAGCAGCTTATACTTGGCTCATCCTCACATGTACTGGACAGCAGCTTATACTTGGCTCATCCTCACATGTACTGGACAGTAGCTTACACTAGGCTCATCCTTACCCGTACTGGACAGCAGCTTATACTAGGCGCATCCTCACATGTACTGGACAGCAGCTTATACTTGGCTCATCCTCACATGTACTGGACAGCACCTTATACTAGGCTCATTCTCCACTGGACAGCAGCATATACTAGGCTCATCCTCACCTGTACTGGACAGCAGCATACACTAGGCTCATTCTCACATGTACTGGACAGCAGCTTATACTAGGCTCATCCTTACCTGTACTGGACAGCAGCTTATATTAGGGTCATCATTACTAGTACCAGACAACAGCATGCACTAGGCTCATCCTTACCTGTACTGGACAGCAGCATACACTAATCTATTCTCATACTAGGTGCTCATTCTCACCTGTACTGGACAGCAGCATATATTAGGCTCATTCTTACCCGTACTGGCTCATCCTCTAAGTGGGTAGTAAATGCAGCATCAACTGCACAGATGAGCTTTCCGATAAGCACCTTGCTAACCCTGATCTTGGCTTTCAGCCTACGAGCAGTGTAGAGGCTGCTACATACATACATGCATGCTAACATGCATTTATGCATAACAAATGCATACATACATATAGACAGACAGACGGACAGACAGACAGACAGACAGACAGACAGACAGACAGACAGACAGACAGACAGACAGACAGACAGACAGACAGACAGACAGACAGACAGACAGACAGACAGACAGACAGACAGACAGACAGACAGACAGACAGACAGACAGACAGACAGACAGACAGACAGACAGACAGACAGACAGACAGACAGACAGACAGACAGACAGACAGACAGACAGACAGACAGACAGACAGACAGACAGACAGACAGACAGACAGACAGACAGACAGACAGACAGACAGACAGACAGACAGACAGACAGACAGACAGACAGACAGACAGACAGACAGACAGACAGACAGACAGACAGACAGACAGACAGACAGACAGACAGACAGACAGACTAATAGACAGGACAGAAAAACAGGACAAGACAGGGTAGTAAAAGACCAGACACACGGACAGACAAGACAGGACTGAAATACAGAAAAAAAAACAGATATACAAAGACATGACAGGTGTCAGAATCCAGCGAGGGTATGGGATGCAGCATATGATGATAGTGACAGGACAGGATATGACAGCCAAGGCGAGGACACGGCAGACAAAGGACAGGAAAAGTGGTCAGGACAGGAATGACAGTCCAGGTCACGACACAGCAGAAAAGGACACGGCAAACCATGACGTAAAGGACAGGGCAGACCAGCTGAAGACAGACTAGGACAGGATACATCAGAACAGGACAGAAGAACAGACCAGGACAGATCAGGACAGAAGAACAGACCATGACAGATCAGGACAAGACAGAGACGGGCAGAATAACAGACCAAGGCAGATCCGAACAAGACACAGACAGACAGAATAACAGACCAGGACAGATCAGGAAAAGAACAGACGGACAGAATAACAGACCAGGACAGATCAGGGCAAGACACAGACAGACAGAAAAACAGACAAGGACAAATCAGGACAAGACACAGACAGAATAACAGACCAGGACAGATCAGGACAAGACACAGACGGACAGAATAACAGACCAGGACAGATCAGGACAAGACACAGACGGACAGAATAACAGACCAGGACAGATCAGGACAAGACACAGACGGACAGAATAATAAACGAGGACAGAAGGACAGACCAGGACAGATCAGGACAAGACACAGACAGAATAACAGACCAGGACAGATCAGGACAAGACACAGACGGAGAGAATAACAGAACAGAACAGATCAGGACAAGACACAGACGGACAGAATAATAGACGAGGACAGAATAACA